CAATAATAATAATAATAATAATAATAATAAGTAAATCGAAGAAGAAAAGAGTACATGAAGTTATCAGAAAAAAAGTGATGGGGAGATATGGGAGGAGTTGGAGGGGAGAGAGTGGGCATGGATTTGATCAGAACACTTTATATGCATGTATGAAATCCTCAATAAATTATCTAAAAAAAAAAAGTTCCAAAGAAGCTAAGTTACGAATTGAAAACCATCTTGACAGAACCATAATTAGAATCTGGATCTCCTGTTTTAATCTATATTGATACATCTCTTTATCTCATTTATAAAATAAAGCAGTATTAGTCAAGTAATTATGACATTACAAGTAGAATAATCCTAATCACATGAAATAAAAATAAAATTGCAACTTTGAATACTAGTAGAATATTTGATGGGCAATATTAATACAGCCAGCTATTCTTCATTCTAGGTTACAGAATGTGTATCTGTCACTTACCTTGTCGACCAGTAAAGCCAAACATTGTTGGAGAGCAGGTAATCAGATATTAGGTTTTTATTATGTAAATTTAGTCATCTTTTAAAAAAGCACAATTTTAACTTGCTTTAAAATTACACTTTACTAAAAGCCAAGAAACCATTCTTAAAATGTATATGTTTAGCAATATGGTTTTTGTTTGTTGTTTATTTTGAGACAGACTCTCTTGCAGCCAGGCTGGCCTCAAATTTGGTATGTAGCTGAGGATGACTTTGAACTCCTGATCCTCCTGCCTCCACCTCCTGAGTACTGGGATGATAAGCATGTGCCACCACATCCAGTTTCCTGAGGACTGTACCCAGGGCCTTGTGCATGCTAGACAAGAACTCTACCAACTGAGAGGCATCTTTAGCCCCCAGTTTACTTTAAAGTTCTTATCTAAGTGTTTTCAGATACTCAAGTGGGAAAAGTATGAAACGTACAGAAAAAATATTGTTGAAATTCTCATTTCGCACTTCTTAATTTCAGTTAGATAAATTGTTTTGTATTCAAAATGAAAATTTAAATATTCATTAATTTGGGGATGATAATTTTGACCTTCTGATTTCTGTGGATTAGTAAATACCTTCATATTTCAATTTCATATTCACCTTTCCTGTGTCCTTTCAAGTTTAACCGGAAACAGTCAAGAACATAAATTTTTTGTTTTTGAGATGGGATCTCATTATGCAGTCCATTGTTATACAACTGTCCTTGATCTCACTATGTAGCCCAGGATGGATTTGAACTCAACAATCCTTCTGCCTTAGCCTCATAAGTACTGGGATTACAGGTATGAGCCACCAAGCCTGCCTAAAAAACTGAAATCTCAACTTTTTAAAAATGTGTGTTTATTTTTAGGATAAATTTAAACACAATGTAAACTATAACATTGCTTTAGTGATGCTGTTCTAAAAGCAGGGTTTTTTTAATTCTTTGTGTGAGTGTATACGTTTGTTTGTGATGGATGTGTGTTTCCATGTGTGCATACACATATGGAGGCTGGAGGTTAACATCAGGTGTCTTCCTCATTGTGTTCTACCTTATTTTGTTGTGGTTATTGTTTGTTTTTGAGACAGGGTCTCTCTGTAGCCCAGCCAGCCTGGAGCGCTATATGTATACACCAGACTGGCTTGGAGATCTGCCTGCCTCTGCCTCCCAAGTGCTGGGATTAAAGACATGTTCCACCATGCCCAGCACCACCTTATTTTTTTTCTTTTTTCTTTTTTTCTTTTTTTTGGTCTTTTTGAGGCAGAGTCTCCCTGTAGCCCCAGCTGGTGTGGCACTTGCTACATAGACCAGGCTCATCTCCATTTCACAGAGATCTGCCTGCCTCTGCCTCCTGAGTGCTGGGATTAAAGACATGGACACCACACTTGGCATTAATTTTATTTGTATTTTATGTGTTTGAGTGTTTTGCCTGCATGTAAATGTACCATGTCATCCAGTGACCTTGGAGGCCAGAAGAGGGTGTTAGAACCCCTGGGACTAGAGTTACAGGGTTGTAAGTTCTTATGTGGTTGCTGGGTCCTCTGCAAGAGCAACCTGCTCTTATCAACCAAGCCATCTCTTCAGCCCCTCCATCATATTTTTTGAGAGTATCCCTCTCTGAACATGGAGCTCACCAATTCGCTGGCTGGCTGTTAAGCTCCAGGAATCGCCTTTCTCCACCTTCCCAGCCCTAGTATTACAGACACACACCACCACACTTTTTTATGTGGGTGTTAGGGATCCAAACTCAAGTATTTATGCTTGCAGAGCAAGCATTTTACCCATTGAGCCATCTTCTCAACCCTCTGAATGCATGTTATTCTGAGGGGTCCTCATTGCTAATTCTTTTGGATCATTAAAATAATAAAGTGCTAGAGAAAGTATTCCTTGAGCTGTGGATGTAGTACAGTGTCAGAGTAACAGCATGTGGGTAACAGCATGTGTGAATACCACAAAAACAAAATTTAAAAGTCACCACAGTGTTTTTAATATGATTGCCATTTACTTTATGAAACTGTATATTATGTTCTGATTATTGTCTACTTGCTATCATGTGTCAGAAAGTAGGAGGTACCAACACTAAAAAGACTAATAAAAGAACTAGTAGAATAGTAAAGAACCATTGCAGTAGTCTTTTTGTTTTCAGATAAAAGAAAAAATTTAAAGCTAGAATTTTTTTTATTTACTTGTCTGTGTGTCTATGTGAGTACGGGTATGTGCAGGTGTGTGCACGTATGCACATGCCATGGCATACCTGTGGAGGTCAGAGGACAGCTTTCAGGAGTCAGTTCCCTTCTTTCACTATGGATTTCAGGAAGCAAACTCAGGGTATCAGGCTTATGTGGCAAATGCTTTTACCAGCTGAGCCATCTCACTCCCCCCCTTTTTTTTTAAACATTTTCCAGTTAGAACAGTAGACCACATTATGTCTCTAACAGTCAATGGGTACTAGACCTTGCTCAGATTTTCAGAAATCTTAGGAGCTAGTTGCATTGTCAAAAACTAATCTGTGCCCTTATAGCACAGGTTTATATCTATATGGTGTCAGTATTCTATAATGGTATAATCATGTATGTCACTTTCCAAATCCAAAATTAAGTGAAGTCATATTGGGTAGCTTAAATCTGTCACAACTGGCTTTGGTAGACTGTTCTATACAGTATTTAGACTATAAATACTCCAAATCAAGTCTTACTTTCTTAGAGTGCTGGTTAAACTTAACCAATAAGTACAGCTTATTTAAAGTAACAGTACAGTAATTTACTGTACTGGAAAAAACTAGGACATTTCATTTGTGCCCTACTGTGAAGTAATATAACAAACATATGTAAATATCAGTATCAAAGTTATCCTTTCAAATTTACATGGGAAAATTAACATTACCTTTTATACCATTAAGCCCAGTAGTTACATATTAGCAACTTGAAACTTGCATTTCATTGCTTTAGTAACCTGTTTAAATTAAATGTTCTACTTGATAGATATCCAGTAAATTGGGTGCCCATTATCATTGCATCATTTGTTCAGCAACCATCAGCAGAAGGACTGACATGCTAGGACATATTAAGCGCCATGTGAATAAAGGAGAAACTAAATCCAGTTATCTTGCTGGTAAGCGAAATGCTCTCATTAACATATTAATAAGTAGGTCTTAAATAAAATGGTCTAATTATTCTTTTCAAATAGTTTATTTGACTACTAATCCATTACTTCATATTTTTTCCTTTCTGTGAAGTTTCCAATAACATTCATATATTTTCAACAGACATTAATAAATGGTATAAAAACTGCAAGTGACACTCATCCTAAAATAGGTATCTTAATAAAAGATTATAGGATTATCTACAATGAAAGATTATAGAATTATAGTCATATTAACAAAAGGATACGTGTTGAAAAGACCTTTATTCTGGGTAATATAAAAATCTCAAGAATTAAATTAACCTTTAGGGCCTAAAGCATCCATTTAATTTTTTCATAGACTATCACTTGAAAAAGCTGCTACTGTGAGATATGAAACATGCCTTTTCATTGACTATACCAGGATGTATAACCATTAGGAATTGTTACTATTGTTGGTATTATAAAAGGAGAAATCTGGGGGGCTAGAGAGATGGCTCAGAGGTTAAGAGCACTGGCTGCTCTTGCAGAGGACCAGGGCTTGGTTCCCAGCACCCACATAGTGGCCAACTCTGAAACTCTAGTTCCAGGGATCTGAAGCCCTCTTCTGGCCTCCATGGGCGTTGCATGACACAGATGTATTTACATAAATGCAGGCAAAACACTCATATACATAAAATAAAATTCTTAAAGAGAAATATGAGTGCTATCTAATGTCCTGATTGTAAACATATCCAAAAAAGCATAAATTAAGGATATATATATGTCTTATTTCTTGAATATTTAAAAATGTTTGTGCATATATATTTGTGTGTGTATATATATATACACACACACATGCACGCACACATCAGTATTTCATTTGCGTTTGTAGCTGAAGAATTCTAATGTATGCTAAATATAAAATCTTTTTCACTAATAGCCAATTGAATGCAGTTTGTGATTTTAAATTATAATTATGCAAAAGTGGGGCCTATGAGATGGCTCAGTCAGTAGAGGCCCTTATTCACAACTCATGACCTGAGTTCAGTCCTTGGATCCCATAAAGTGATAGGAGAAAATTGTATGTTTAAGAAACATGATTCTTAGCCATCCCAGCTAATGGAAAGCAGCTATGCAAAGAAACTCCTTTTGAATAATAACACCACAGAAAAACATATTTAGTGGCCAACCTGTGAGAGTACAGTGTAGTGCTTAAAGAATCATAAAGATATTTTAGGATTTTATTCTATCCAATGGTCATTTTTCTTGGATATTATAATAACTAGACAGTCAAAATTTAAGTGAATAAACTTCCTTACATTTACTACTTACCTAGGCATGACTCTTTCCAGAGACTACTGTTTTAAAACAAAATAATGTAGTTATTTTTCAAAATGTGTATTTTAGATACTTAGAATTTTACCCTGTAATGTCACTTTTTCTCCTTTCTTTTTAGCTTCTACTACTAAAACATCTAATGAAATTTTGAAGGAGACAGATACAGATATACAAGTTTGTCCTAACTATTCTATACCTCAGAAAACAGATTCCTATTTTAATCCCAAAATGAAACTCAATCGGTAAGATAAAATAAAAATAGTTACAGAATGTTTCAAATCACTGCAATGTACCTCTTTTAACCGCTGTTCCCATATATTAAAATTTTAAACTATATTTAGTATGAAAACCACCTATTCTAACATTTTCTCAAAATGATTCTTTTTTCTCTCAGCCCAATTTTTGTCAAAGGCCTAACATTACATAATTAAACCTGAATAGGCTTGTGCTTTTATTGATAAGTTTTATTACTAAATGAGTGAATGCTTATTAAATAGTATTCAATTTATTTTATAGTTTAACTTTATAAACTTATAGGTCTTGTACTTCTAATTTTGGAATATATTATTAGGTTGATAGCTTCAAATTTCTATAGAGATGGAGCCATAGTACAGTAAAATTATTTCAGAATATTACTTTTTTCTAGGCAGCTAATATTCTGTACATTGGCTGCTTTGGCTGAGGAACGAAAACCTTTGGAGTGTTTAGATGCCTTTGGAGCCACTGGTAAGTAAAAAAGCTTTTCAGTTTGTATAATACCTTTTCTTAGAAAATTTATATAGATATCACATCTACCAAAATGTTTTGATGTTAAAAAATTAAAGAGCCAAGGTAAGATGTTTGAAATTTTTTGTGAAATTTGCAAATATTTTGTATGAGTATAGTAAGTGAATATCCATGTATCACTTCAAAAATAATCAACTCACATTCAATTCTGTGCTATTAGTATCCTATATCTCAAACTTCATACAATAGTCTCTTCATTAATTTAAAATAAATCATGGACCTATTATTTCAAATAAATTCTTGAATTGGATATCTAAAAAACTAAGGCTTTTTTCCTTTGAGGACAGTTATTACTGTGTAGTCCAGGCTATCCTTGAACCCCTGATGTGCCTGTTCCAGCCTCCCAAGTGCTAGGATTACAGGAGCACACCTCTGCTCCCAATCACAATCAGGAATTTTAAAAAGTAAAGCTTCCAGATGTGATGGTGCCTTTAATACTGGCACTTGTGGATCTCTGAGTTTGAAGCTAGTTTGATCTACATAGTTCTAGGCCAGCCAGGGCTATTGGGAGACAGCTGTCTCAGAAACAAAAACAAACTAGCAAAAAAGTAAAGCTATAGTAACATTATCCTACCTAAAAAATTAAGATTAATTTATTGATAGCAATAATTATTTAGGTATGATCAATTAAACATTTTTAAAAACTTCAAATCAGAGTCCAAGGAGTATTTTCATTGTTTGACATCAGGTCTCTTAATATGGTTTCTTTCTATCATTGTAAGTGTATAGATGAGTGCATGAAAGAGAGAATATGTATGGTAATTATTTATTGACACAAATGATCTTTTGTAGTTTCTGGTCATCTAGACTTTTAAGATGGTATCATCATGGCTCATGGAATATACTCCTCTATCATCTGTACTTTTCCAAATTGGTGGTCTGATCAGATGCATTTATGAAGTATCTATGTAGCAGAGGATGACCTTGACCTCCTGGTTCTCCTGCCTCCATCTCCAAAGATTATAGGCATATGCTACCATCTCTAACAGAAATTTTTTATTTTTCTTTTTTTAGACAGGGTCTCACTATGTATCCCTGGCTGGTCTTGATCCACCTGCCTCTGCCTCCCAAGTGCTAAGATTAAAGGTATGTACCACCATACCCAAGCAGAATTTTTTTTTAAGGATACTTGTTTAGGGGCTGGAGAGCTGGCTCAGCCATTAAGAACACTGACTACTCTTGCAGAGAACCTGAATTTGGTTCCTAGCACCCACATGGTCGCTAACAACTGCCCAAAACTGTTCCAGGGGGTCTGATGCCCTCTTCTAACCTACACAGGTGTTGTGTGCACAGGTGCACTTAAACGTAGGCAAAGTAGTCATCGACATAAAAAATAAGTAAATAAATCAAAGAATACTTGTTTAGTATAATCAGGAATCAGCTAATAACTTGTGTTTTTCATTTATTTACTCTGTGTGTGTGTGTGTGTGTGTGTGTGTGTGTTTATGAGATATGTAAGTGCAGACAGACCTGTGCCATGTTGTATGTGTGGAGGTCAGAGGACAACCTTCAGGAATTAGTTCTTTCCTTCCACCATAGGTTCCAGGGATCTAATGCACATTGTCTGACTTTTACCTGTTGATCCATCTCACTGTTTATTGTTGTTATTTAATGTGTTTTGACTATCATTGCCTAGCCTTCTGCATTAACTATTGTTCTGTTTTTGAACCTAAGTCCCTCCCTCTGTAGCCCAGGCTGGTCTAGAATTCACTATTTAGCCCAGGCTGGCCTTGAATTCCTGCTCCTCCTGCCCTCTGTCTCTTTCTGCTAGGATTATAGCCATCATGCCCAACTGTGATCTTCAGTTTTGAAATTAAGAACATTTTTCTCAAAATATTTAACAATAGAGAAAAGATGATAGAAATAGAAAAGGCCATTTGTTTTTATCCCAAGTCTTCATAAACATTAAAGAAGTACACTCTTGGTAAACTTATACCTAAAGAGTAAAAGCTTTGCTTCCTAAGCTTCTGTTCCAGGGGAAAGCAGTGGTTAAAAGCATGAACTATGGATCCAGGTTCAAGTCCTAGTTTCATCATGTGCTAGTTTTATGACCACAGGAAATTTTTTTATCACATATAAAAGTAAAGGGCAAGAGAGTAGTACTCATAGAGTACTGAAGATTTAAAATCAATACAGTTTAAAGTTATTACTACAGTACTTCGTACACAGAAAATGCTATAAAAGTTTTAAATACCATTTTTACTGTAGCTACCGTTACCTTCCTTGCTAATAATGTATCCAATTTAAAGTGGTAAGAGTAATGAGGTGGTCCTTCCAAGCTGATTTTATTCTTTTGAGTCACTTAAATGTGAACTTTGAATTATTATTTGTATATATACACACATATGTGTAGTGTGTATGTGTGTGCATGTATTTGGAGGCCAAACATCCATACTGGGTCTCTTCCTCAGTTACTCTCAACCTTGCTTTTTGAGATGGGGTCTTCTGACTGAACCTGGAGCTCACTTATCTAACTGGACTGGCTGGCTAGCAAGCCTTAGGGGTCTTCTTATCTCTGCTTCTCCAGCGTACAGGACCCACCACTGTACCTGCTTTTTACGAGCATGCTAGGGGCCAAACTCACATCCTCATGCTTGCATGGCAAGCACTTCACTGACTGAGCCATCTCTCTAGCCCTCTTTTTCATTCCTTCTTTTCCTCCACTAACCCCACATCAAATCACCCACCAGATCTATTCTGATTTTTCTTTTGTAATGTCACTCACACTCGTTTTTTTATTACACATCTAGTCTATTGCAGTAGTCTCCATGCTTCCAGTGTTCCATACATGGTATTGTCAAACAAACATTTCTTTGAGGTGCTTACATTGATCTTAATTCTCTGTCAAAATAATTTGCCTCTGTATTGCCTAGAGTCCAAAACCGCTTGGCAGCAATTTATCATTCATAATATGATCCCATTCTTTCCCAAATTTATTTCTTTGCATTTTCCCCACATACTTTGTTCTTTACTCTTTAAAATCTGAAATCATTAAAGATGATATCTAAAAAAGCTGGCCTCGGGGCTGGAGAGATGGCTCAGCATTTAAGAACACTGGTTGTTCTTGCAGAAGACCCGGGTTCAAAGCCCAGCACCCACATGGCAGCTAACAATTGTTTGTAACTCCAGTTCCAGGGGATCCGACAGCCTCTTCTGTCTTCCGTGGGCATTGCACAACATGGGTGCACTTACCT